GGAAATGTTTGGTTCATTTTCTGTACTACAATGAGATATGAGCCGTTGAAGGTTGAATTATGAACTTCTATGGCTCATTATAGGTGCACACTAACTAATTAAGTGTTGCGCTGTTATTTCTTTATTGCAGTTCATTTTTTCCCCAGTATTGTTCATAGTAGAATGCTCTTTTATTGTAGATCTGCTTTTGATTTGGTTTCAGTATGATTGTTTATCATCTATATTTACTTAAGCAATATGTTGCACTTCAAAATTTGGTATTGTGACAGACCTTATTCAGAAATGAATAAGGTCCAAAGAGCAGTTTAACAGCTATGCTCCAAAACCAAGAAAATACTAACCACAGTACTAACCATTTCATAGCAGGGCCACTATAGACTGTATATTATTCTCTACAGCCTATAATTGCCACCCACCTCACTCCAGCTATGACCTATATTACACTAAATTGACTCTTGTGAGCTTTAAGCCATGTCATACACCAGGAGTTTGAATAACCCGTAGTCTGTTTACATCCTCAAAAGCTCAAAATGCTTTGTTCCACCTTGTGATGTCATGTTTTAAGTGTATAGCTACCTTTTACCTTTAGTTCACTAGAGATGGGAAATTCCAGGACTGATTCTAGTGAAGGTGTATAAACTTTAAAAAGCAGTGGAGCACTTCACAAGGTGGAACAGAGTGTTTTCAGTTTGAGAGACAAACTTAAAATATTCAAGGTTTGTGTGTTAAACATGTGTGAATGAAACAAACCACAACTCCAGGTACAGTGTGTTTTTAATAAACACCATTATAACATCTACCAGAAAATAGAATAATATGAGCCCTTTATTACCCAAAGTGACTTAATATAAAACCTTTTTTTCCATGCACTGTCCCAAACTGGAACCAACTACCAGCAAAGTAAACAAACAGTGAAGATGACCATGCTTGCATTAAAGAAGCTTACTGTGATAGAGTAAAATATCTGTCAAGAAATGCCCAAGGCACTTGAGGAAATATGATAAAACTCCTTAATTGGTCACATGGGATGAGCCAACATGTGTCAACACAGGTAGTGGTCAGGATGAATATTTTAAAAGAATATGACCACACTTGTAGAATAAAAACAAGCTTGGTCATCTTCACTGTTTGTTTGCTTTTGAGCCTTGTCCTTGTGGAGTACCTGTTGGACTTTTAACTAAGAAAATATCCCCTGAAGCTCTCACTTTCTTTGTTTATATAGCAACAGAAGTAGTTCTAAGCTTGATTTTGGACAGTCAGTAGAATATCCATTTGGAGTTTACATATTAATCAATTGATTGATTGACACAAACATCTATTTAAATTCAAACCAGGTCTAAACCAAGAGGACCAAAGACCAGGACAATTCATTGCAACCTAAATGTGTCCTTTTGATGCAGTTTTTGATATGAATAAAATGAGTTTTTTTGTTAATGTGAGAGAGAAGCTTAGATTTTCTTTTCCTACTCCTTTTAAAGCTCAAATAAGAAAAATATACATGTGAAATGTACATTAAGTGTATCCGTGTATACTTATTATGTTCATTAATCTGCTCTAAATAAATAAATGAAGAAAATGTATTAATTAACATATGCTTGACTCTCCAGATTCCATTCCATTTTCTTTATTTATCTGGGGGCAGGTCATGGGGACAGTAGTCTGAGCAGGGAGGCCCAGACTACCCTTTTCACACACACTTCCTCCAGCTCTTCCAGGGGGATCCCAAAGCATTCCCAGGCCAGTCTCTCCAACCTGTGGGACGTGCCCGGAACCTCACCAGGGAGGCATTCAGGAGGCATCCGTAACAGATGCTCAAGCCACCTCAGCTGGTTCCCCTCATCGTGGAAGAGCAGTGGCCCTACTCCGAGCTCCTCCTGTGTGACTGAGCTCCTCACACTATCTCTAAGGGAGCACCCAGCCACCCTGCCAAGGAAACTAATTTCGGCTGCTTGTTCTTTCAGTCATTACCAAAAGCTCATGACCGAGAGTAGATCATCATCTGCACAGAGCAGAGATCAGATCCTGTGGTCCTCAAACCAGACCCTCTCTGGCTGCGCCTAGAAATTCTGTCCATAAATACAATGAACAGAACCGGTGACAAAGGGCAGCCCTGGCAGAGTCCAAGATGGTCCGGGAACAGGTCTGACTTAGTGCCAGCAATTCAAACACAGCTCCTGCTCCGGCCATACAGGGACCGGACAGCCCTTAGCAAACTACCCCATACTCTCAGAGCCCCCCCCCATAATGCTGGCTCAGAGCTATGATGACTCAACAAGAACCAATCAAGCTAATTTAGAAAAAAACATCTTAACCACCTGAATTATGTTAGCCTCTTCAGTGCAGTTGCAGCTCAGAGATGTTTTTAAAGAAATCTTATTACTTCTGGTGCTCAACTGATTAAAGGTGCATTGTGTAACTTTTCTGGAGGAGGGTCCGTCAGATGCTTTTCTCCATAGAGATGTTATTGCTTCGTTTGGAATATTTCACAGTATGGTATTAAACCTTTCAATCATCAGGGAGAGCAAATAAAACTAAATTATAGGTCAGATCTCTGGAGAGGCAACCCCACTCACAGTCAGAATGTCTGTTTTTCTAGGTATTTTGCTCTATAAAACCACCTGCAATTGAATAAATGCAAGGTAATAGAAGCATGTAGAGCTCAATCAATACAGAAACTCTAAGTGGTGAAAATTGCAAATAAAACAAAGAAGTTAATGTAACTTTAGTTAAAAACAGTGTAAAACCAAAGGAAAATATATGCAGATTGGGGGGGAAAAAAACTTACATGTACACTGTGTCATTTTGTGGTTGAGTGTGACATTAAACAACTGGCACAAAAACTGGTATTCAGACAGTGAGTGGGGTCACCTCTCCAGAGATCTGACCTGTAACTAGATCTGATTTGGTCTCCACAAAGGTAGAAAGGTTTAATACGATACTGTGAAGTGTTCCAGACAAAGCAATAAAGTGGAGAAAAGCATTTGGAAAGTTACACAATGCATCTTTAAGTTATTCACACTGTTTTCACTACCACTGTGCTTTGGACTTTTACAAGTCTGAACTGAACTGATTTCTTGTGGTCAAACAAATTTTGGTATTGAATGAAAATCTGTTGTTTGCTTTTGCATCCTTGACTTCGCATGTAGCTCTCATAAATCATACCAAATGTTGATATTGTTTGACAAATTATAATGAGGCTGAGCAAACTTGGCAGCTGCTTTTCCAGTGGAGAGTATAACTGGTTGTGTTAGAAAGAAATACTGAAATAATAATCCTCCTCTCTAAGAATACACTACTGACATATATTATTACTATTATATACACCACAATGAAAACAAATACAATAACACATCAAACTGGTTTGTGAACTGATGAACTTTTTTCAATATTCAATCCAGGAAGAATCCAGGACTCTGTCGTACTACCTAATATTAGGTGTTATAAATCACTACATTTAAACTTGTTTGAAACAACAAAGCAAACGTGGTAGAGGGTGGGGGTGCGTTCACATCCATAAAAGGCCAATGACACCAAGGTATTTCAAATGGTATTATTTCTGAACCCTGCCTATGTTTGAACATACTGTATATGTAACCTGCATGTGCAGATACATGACCTGTATATGTGCACTATGTTCCAACACAAAAACACATTGTATGTGTGAGTGTAATCTTCAGACTGTATAACTGGACTAATGGAGGTGATGTAGCCTCGCTAATGTAAATTTATTTTATAATAGACTACAAAGAAACTTCCATCTATTAATGACATCTAAAAGTTCTAAAACCTACATGAGTACATCTTTTGGTACAAGCATTTTATTTTAATGCCAATAACTGACAGTTCTCAAGCATCAGGATCAAGATGAGTACATGAAGTCATATGGTTTTACTCTGTTCACTCCTGTGCATGACTCATAGTCTCATAGATTCACACAGTGAAATAATCCCATGAAAATATCATCCAGAAACATCATCCTTCAACACATTTTCACATAATTATATGATGTGTTTGTAAAATAACACTTTAAGGGATAAGTATCCTATCTTTTTATTTGGATAAAATGGATTCTCAGAAGAACTGACATAACTGAATAATTCAGTATTCTATATAGTAATGGGACAAAAGTAAATCAAGTAAACCAGTAAATCACAAGTAACCATTATTTAAATCCTCACATGAATTTATATCTGCTCCCTGGAGTATTTTTGTTTCATTTGAAGTGATTCACTCTATGGTTTTGTGTTTTTGTGAGTCACACAAAATCCAGTCCTGCGGTTCTACATCAGATTTTCTCTGTGGTTGATCCATTACTTTACCTTTGGGCCACAATGACGTGACTGGTGAAGTGATATAAGGACATATCCACAACAACTGTGGAGGAAAATAACAAACTATAAACTCTGGTTAAAGATAAAGCACCTTTCATTCTATTAAAGTAAATTAACTTCTGATTCGAACAATAGGCCACCCGCCTATAACGTAATTAAAAGTGTTTAGAGCCTCAGGCACTACTTAATGCTGCTTTGCCTTCACATCCAGCACAGACCTCTACAGCGCAAAAGTTCAGCCACAAATGACCCAACTCAAATCATCTCATCATGTCATCTCTCTCTCAGAGAGCGCAGTTGTTTATGCCCTGATCGTTGCAACCTTTACTGTACCATTTCCATCATCTGAGATCATTATACACGCTCTGATTGGCGGTTGCCGGTCTAAGATGAATTTCATGTGACTCTACTGCCACCTTCTGTACAAACGGGAACTTAACAGTCAATGTTACATTTTTATGAAGTGAATTAAATTCTGTATTTCCGTTTTGCAAGCTATGCTTTTACATAATGACTGCCACAGCACAGAAAGAGAAATCATGTCACCTTTTTTGTGGTATATATAAAGTATTGTGGAAACAGTATAACTTAATATTAACTCTAGTGTGTAATAATGTGAATTCAGGCAATATAATAATGTTAATGTTAAAATAAAACATATCACACAAATATGCTTAAGTTTTTTATAATAATATTTACAAAAAGAATACATAACAACAAAGTCATCTCAGTCTTTTCTCTGAAGCACTATTTACATCTGTATAGAAATGGAAACAAATACAGTCTATTGTCTATCAGAACAGTAATGTAGGCTGCACATGTGTAACAGACACTAGTGTACGTGAGTTTAAATAAAACACAGTTATACTTTCATTAAACATGACAAACATACACAAGCACCTTCACTCCAAATAATGAGCAAATACTCTTTTTATTATGAAAAAGATTAGATGTGACTTCACCCACATAAGACAATAGACCAAAACATTTTATACTGAGCATTTTGAGTACAAAACATGCTTTTGTCTTTTCCCGGTGTGATGCTAACTGTAGGCACTGCTCTGTTTGAAGCGCAGTTACTCAAGATAGACTGTAGTCTGAGGTTTGTTTTAACACCATCTGACCAAAAAGAGTGGACTTAGCTGGAACTACAACAGATGAGCTGATTTGTGCAAGTCTCTCAGATAACATTACAGTCCCAAGTTAACTAACATTAAATATCAGGGTTTTTTTCTTAGTTAGTCTCGAAACCTAAACAGGACCATGAACGCTCATATTGATCATAGTCTCCTGAAAATGTGCAGTTTAAATCCAGTTTTCAGACTATCTTAAAACTTTTTGACCGTTTTTGCTAATGTGTGCATTTTGTCACCATGGTAACTCCCACATAGGACACCCCAAGCATGACGTTACTGCAAAGTATCTTCTGCCAGTGTGGCCTCTCTTCGGCACACAGACAGGGACAGGGGCTGGCTCGCTCGTCTCTGGATCTTCTTTAACAGCTGGATGCGGTTGTGGCAGTAGAACTTCACGGCTCTCCAATCTCGGTGGTTGTTGACCAGCAGTGGACTGTTCTGTAGGCAGCGCTCACAGTCGGCTTTGGCAGGAACTCGTAGCTCACTGATACTTTGATTCAGATACTCTTCCACCGCTGCTCTCTCCGCCTCAGACCAGGGACGCTTTAGGACCCCGCGCTTTCCTGTGACAGCAAAAAAACAAAACAAAAACCAACAGTGAAGACTACTACAACTACACACGCTATACAAATGAGAAACTTTATTGAGCTTTATTGAACTTTATGAGCTTCTATAACTACAGTCACTACGGGCTCCATTACGAAACAATAGATTGTATAAAGAAGTGAACTAAGGGAGTGTGACATCAAACATAGAGTTCGGCTTCAGTCAAATGAAGCTCACAAGGTTAGCGGTTATATGAGCGAATTTTGAGCGAACTTGTGATGTCATGAAGCAGTAATTTTCATGTTAACAGGTATACCTTTTACCCTTTGTCCAGTAGAGATAGGAAGGCTTTATGTTGCATTTTTATATGAAAGGCATTCTATAAATAAAGTTTGATTTGATTTGAAATTTCAGTGCTGAAATGATGAAAATGATTCTAGTGAAGGTGTGTGGAGTTTAAAAACACAATGGAGCACTTTCTACATTGACATCACAAGGTGGACCTGAGTGTTTGAGAGAAGAACTTAGCCTAAATATGCAGGATTTGTGTGTTAAACATGTGCCGATGAAACAAAATACAACTCCAGGTATGTTTTTGGTGAGGAAACAACATTATAACAGAACAGAAAATAGTGTAATATGCAGGGGTGTAGTGGGTGTGGTACATGGAAGTACGCAGTCCACCCACTTCTCCCAGTGTGAGATATAAAAAAATAACAAATATAACTACAACCTACAACTTAAATGTCAAACTGGAGCTATTGGCAATGGTGAAAACAAACTGCATAGGCTCATGATATCTGCAGTACTGTCCTATAGTGACCTGAGACACAAGGGGACCAGGACTGAACCAGGACTGAACCAAGAGGACTAAACCAGGACTGAACCAGGACTAAACCGGAACTGAACCAGGACTGAGTGTCTGGACGGGCCTGGAGGTGCGCCCGCGTAGACCATCAGGTGACCGCAGACGAAAGGACCGGCACAGAGCTCCGCGTCCCATGGGGCTAAGCGCAGCCGTCACCAGATCGTGATTTGCACACACCCTGCTCTGCAGGCTCGGGGTTCTCCCTCTCGCTCTAAAGTCCAGTCAAGTTTAGGTTTAGTCTTTGTTTAGTCCTGGTTTAGACCTGGTTTAGACCTAGTTTAGACCTGGTGCATTTCTGGTTTAGTCCTGGTGTAGTCCTGGTTTAGTCCTGGTTTAGACCTGGTTTAGTCCTGGTTCAGTTCGGGTTTAGTCCTGGTGTAGTCCTAGTTTAGACCTGGTTTAGTTCTGGTTTAGTCCTGATTCAGTTCTGGTTCAGTTCTGGTTTAGTCGTGGTTTAGACCTGGTTTAGGATTCATCACATCTTTAACGTCACGAATACCCCGACTTAAAAAATCCCCACTACACCACTGGTAATATGGGTCCTTTAAGGAACAGTAAAGAAAAAGAAAAACTGGGGATTAGTACCTGTACCCTTGCGACTGGTAGGTGAAAGAGGGTAAAGCGAAGCAGATGGTGAAAGTGCGTTCTTTTGTTTTTTGGTGTGTCCGTGCTTCTTGAACTTCTTCACATTATGCAGAGCAGAGGCCTGGGTCTGTAATGGACCTGCACCTGAAGTCTCACTTTTCTCCTTCACTGTCTCTCCGTCTGACTCTCCATCTGAATACGAGTCGGCAGAGTTCTCGGACATTACTGCAAAATGTAGACACATTTGTTTATTTAGTTTTCTTTTAACAACATAATGAACAGAGCAAAACTCTAAGGTCACATAAACCTGTTAAAATAAAATGTTAAAAGTGCGATATATTGCTACAGTAAATATTGCAATAACCGATAATACTGAAGACCATTTTAGCTACTCTGCAATATTGTACAGAATGAAAAGAAGATGTGGAATAAGTAGCCATAGATATAGTCTAAATAAAATGTACAGTGAATAAATACTGAGACTATAAGTATAATGCTGTGACCTCAGTAGAAACATATCTGGAGTTGTGTTTTGTTTCATTCATACAAATTTGAGAAATCCTTTATTATTAGTCTGTCTACATCTCCAAAATGCTCTGTTCCACCTTGTGATGTCATGAAGCAATAGTTTTCCTGTCAAAAGCTACCTTTAGCTTTTTGTTCAGTAATTCCAGATCTGAAATTATCCAAATGATTCTAGTGAAAGTGCAAGGAGTTTAAAAACACAGTGGAACACTTCCTGGATTATCACTTGACGTCACAAGATGGAACAGAGTGCTTTCTGTTTGACAGAAGAACCTAAATATGCAGGGTTTGTATGTTAAACGTGTGAATGAAACAAAACACAACTCCAGGTCTGTTTGATATGAGGAAACAGTAAAACAGAGCTCAGAAAATAGTGGAATATGGGCCCTTTAAATATGGTGTACATGTACACTCCACATATTGTATCAGAGAAAATTATAACCGTATTTTTCGGACTATAAGGTGCACTTAAAAACCTTTAATTTTCTTATGTATTAATTCTGGTTGTGTTTACTGACCTCGAACTGATTGTATGTGGTACATAGCGCTCAAAAATCTGTCAAAATGTTTTAGTACAACTTTGGTAAGCTACAGTACGAAGGTGCACTGCTTGATGAACTCAAGTGTCAATCTCAAGTGTTGTCCATTTGTTTTGCTTAATGCGCCTCATAATTTGGTGTGCCTTACAGTCCGAAAAACGTTTGTACCACAATAGTTTGAACAAAAGTTAAGTTTAGAGTAGTAATTATCATGGTAGGCTTAAAGGTGCATTGCATAACATTTCTAGCGGAGGGTTCGCCACCTGCTTGTCTCCTAGGAAATGTTATTGCTCTGTTTACAATGTTCCACAGTATTGATTAAACCTGTCTATCATGAGAGAGACAAAGAGGTTACATTACAATTCAGATCTATGGAGAGTCGTCCCTATTCATGGAGAAAATTGTTGTATTTTTGAGCACCAGAAACACCTGTTATGAATAAATGCTGTATGGATAATTGGAATGGAACATTACAGGCAAAACAATAACATCTCCATGGAGACAAGCAGGTAGCAGACCCTCCACCAAAAACGTTGCACACTGAACCTTTAAAGTCACTGCCAACTCACCATCTAGCTCCAGACAGATGTGGTTCAGACTCATCCCTCTGAACAGAACTCCGTCTCTTTCTCCACAAAGCACCACACGCCCCACTCTGCCCATCAGCACCGCGTCTTGACCAATGTCGGCGCAGCTCTGCATCACGTGGTACTCTCTCTCCAGGAAATGCTCCAACCTCTCCACAGCTCCGCCCCCCTCCTGCCCTGGCTCCTCCCCCTCTCCCAGGAGTAGGAGCTGGGTGAGGATGCCTACCTGCCTCCGCACCCGAGTCTGGGTCAGTACCCGCGGGTTATGGATGCCACAGGAGCGGGCCAAGCTACGGAGCAGATCTGTGCCTCGGAGGGGGGTGGCCGGCGAGTGGTACGGCCGGGCAAACATATACGGGTTAGCTGGGTCCACGCCTACCCCTTGTCTAGTCTGTAAGAGCAGCTCCAGACAGTGCTCACTATGAGGGGGCAGAATAAGAGGCTGGATTCTTCCGCGCTTTCCTTGCACCCCTACTCTGGGCAGATGGGTCAGCACCAGGCGCTCAAAGGGGGACAAAGTAGCCTCCAGGGGGGTGAGAGCAGGAGGAGCGCCAGGTGGGACTGGGACGGGACACTGAGGGGTGACACGAGCGTGGTACTCCGAGATTAAGAGTTTGGAAACCTCACATTCGCGTCGTCGGTTGTATAGTATGAGCAGGGACAAGCTGGAGTGGCACAGCAGTCTCCAGGCTTCAGGGGACTGAAGCTGCCGTGACAGAGACAGGAAGGCCGAGTGCTGAAGGCGGCGCAGGTAAAGGACCAGAGACGACAAGGAGGAGAGGAGGAAAAGCATGCGGGGATGTCCGGAAGAGCTGCAAACAGAAGTCAAAGTGTAAAATTAAACAGGGTTCCCACTTTTTTCACTGACAAAATTTCAAAACTTTCCATGGATTTTTCATGACCTAAAGTATATTTCCCATGGCTCTACAGCACCCTACATGTGTAGAATTGAGCATACTTTTAGGGCTTAATATGAAATGTTAACCCTTTCCACTCACCTTATGGCAGTGTTTCCCAATTTTTTTTTTCTTTTTCTGGGGACCCAGGAGGATATTTTATTGTTGACTGAGTGATCATGTCTCTCTGAACAATTAGTTTTACTCAAGTTTTAAACATTGAAAAATAGTAATTGAACCAGCAATAAAAGGGATCCCTCAGTCGCCTCTTTGGACATTAAATATAGCCCTGTACATTGCAGACCAACATGAAGATCGTGACATGGAGACCCAAAAAAATCTCTTGCGACCCACCTGAGTTTTGATATTTATTGTCGTCTCTTTTAAACAAAAGGTGCATACGTTCGGAAATAATCATAATAGCCTAATGATAACTTAACACAGCGCTGTAGCTGTGTGAAAGAGATAATAAAATTCCATGACTTTTCCCAATCTTCATTGAATTTACAAAATTCCATGACTTTTCCAGGCCTGGAAAATGACATTTTCAATTTCCATGACTTTTCCAGGATTTCCATGACCATAAAGAATCCACAAAATGGATTCTTGTGTGGTTTCAGCCATGTTCTAATGTAGTGTCCTTAGCAAAAATATATCTGGAATTGTCCTTTGTTTGTTTGAGCAATTCTTTATTATTAGTCTATCTACATCTGAAGGTCAAAATGCACAAAAAAGGCTATTCTAGGACTATAATCATCCAAATTATTCTTGTGAAGTATTTCTTACTGTAGCATTGAGTGTTGATTGTATTGAATGTTTTCAGTCTGAGAGAATAACACAGCCTAAATATGCAGGGTTTGTGTGTTAAACATGTGGGAATGAAACAAAACACAACTCCAGGTATGTTTTTGATTAGGAAACATCATTATAACATAGATCAGAAAATAACTAAATGTATTTTAAAGTACCTTAACATCTTATCTTCGGTGCCACCGTCGAATTCCCCTTCTCTCACATTATTCTCCTCATCGACGTCAGAAACATCGTCCTGCTTTAATCTTAACGGCTCCATCACTTCACCCAATGGACTCTGAGCACGCACATTCTCATCTTTGACCGCCTTCAGAGCTGATTCTACCTGGACCGCCTTTGACCTCTTCTTCCCCCCCTTTCTAATCGGGTCCACAGCTGCAGGCGGCGGGCTGTGTGTGTAAACAGAAAGAACCACTCTGCTCTGCGATGGAGAAGGGGACAGTGGAGGTGAATGATGGACTGCTGTGAGACTGGGTGGACTCAGAGACAGATCCTGGACTTGAGAATCCTCTGGTGAGTTCGCTTGGAGGGGTAAATGAGAGTGGGGTGAATTGGGGTGGGGGCTTTGGGCTTGTAAGCGGGGCATCTGCGTGTATCTCTCCACCAGGGCGGAGCACACGTCAGGCTGGTGTGCATGATGCTTGTCCAAGTGGCGACCCAAGGAGCGAAAATGGCGCCCGCAGAACTCACAGGTTTGGGTGATGCAGTCTGCGGCGGGTTTGAACACTGGTTTAGCTGAAGAAGAGGAGGAGGGAGATGAAGGCAGCTGCAGTGGAGGTGGATCAGATGAAGGAATGGACTGGTCATGATGGTCAAAGCTGGGTGTGATTTGCTGAGCGCGCCCCGGTGATGTCCGATGGGGGGTCTTTTTCTTTGAGGTTGTCCGAGGCTTTTTACGGAGGGGGGGTGTGGATCCTTGTGGGCTGGGGTTGTCTTCCTCTCGCTCAGAGGGTGAGGCCGACGGGGACAGGGACCAGGAGGGGGTGACGTAGACCTGCTGCTGGTCCTGGTGTGGTACAGTCAGAGGGAGAGGTTCATCCTCCTGTAAAGAGAGGGTCATTTACAGCTCAAGAAATAAGATTCAGTAACTGCTAGTTTTAAAAAAGAATGAGAACTTCGCACATCAATTACTTGAAACGGGTGTGTTGGAGGAGAGGGAGCACCCCAAGAACATAGAGAAAAATCCCGCACACCATCTTACTTGCAAATGTGAGATTTATTAGGACAAACAGTGCAACGTTTCGTAAATCTTATAATGTAAATCTCACATTTTGCAAGTAAGACGGTGTGCAGCATTTTTCTCGTTTAAAAAAACAGTACAGCCTTGTAACTGGATCATTTTAAAGTGTAATTTCAAGTAAGTATTGAAATGTACTGGATTTAAAGGCGCACTGTGTAACTTTTTCACTCACTCACTACTTGTCTCTATGGAGATGTTATTGCTTTGCCTGGAATGTGCCACAATATGGTATGGACTTGCCCCTTTCCATAAAAACAAGCAGGTGATGCCACCAAGCTAAGACACAGGCCGGATCTATGGGGAGGTGACCAGGCTCAAAATGTTTCTCAAAGTATTTCTGAGCAATAAACAAACTTTAACTGAGTTGAATGAATGCAATATGGATATATTTAATTATATACTGTGGAATATTTCAGACCAATAACATCACCACAGAGACAAGCAGGTGGTGGACCTTCCCCATCAAAGTTACACAGTGCACCTATAAAGAGGGGGTATTTTACTTTTATGGGGTATTAACTGCTAGCCAGGCTGGCGCCACCTAGTGCCTCCGTTCAATGTCGTTTCTCTTCAGCTACTAGGTTAGGAATCAGAATACACTAGATGGTTTGCAAGAACCCTGGAAGTTGTAGACCGCGCACCAGCCAATCAGCGAAGAGCTCTGAAGCCATGACATCAAACTCAAGCACCTGCCTGAGTCCCTTTTTTGGTACAGCACAACAGTAAACAAAGTGGTCAAGATTAATGTAGACGAAGCAATACATTCTATGTTGGCAATGATTCCCGAGATCGAGGATTTTCACTCCCTGCTTTGTTTGCTCTTGTGCCGGCAATTACTTGGACACCACTGACCGGTGCATTACATATGTGACAAGACTCACGACCAAATAGCAGTGATTGGTTAAATAAAAAAAGTACCCGCCTACCGTCGAGCGAACGAACCCTACTGCTGCACAGTCAAACGGTTTCAACAAAGTGTAACCGTCTGATGAATCAGGCTAATTAACTGCTAAGACATAACATATTTAGATCACCATGTTACCTTTTATTGTTCTGAAAATACTATACTTGATATAAACAATGTATTGTGCTTGTTTTAGAAGTTTTGTTCCCCTCCCTTTGCTTGCCGTGCTTAATCACTTCTGTTTCAGAGCATTATCACAACACAATCAGCGTGCGTTCGGCTAATTAAACTACTGTGAAGTTATTGTGTACAGTTTTGTATCATACTTTTATATATTTATGGAGAATTGTTAGCATTGCACAGAATCTTACCGCTAACCATAAGGAGGGTTTGAAAAGGACCTGAGTGAGACCTCAAAATTAGTGAAACATCCATGGATGACATCTGACCCTCATTAAAAATGAGGGTTAGATGTAGAACAACATCATTATAAAAAGGTAGAAAGGTAGAAAGCCAAAAAAAACAACTGCATAATACCCCCTCTTTAAGCATTTTTATTTAAATTACCTTTTTGATTTTGTTGTTGTTCTCTGTCTCCGCAGTGTACTCAAGTTGTGCTGGGGACAAACCTCCTCTGAATCCCTGTACAATAAAGGAAGAACAAAACATACATTTCTATAGTGAGCTTGGCTGTAGAAGTAAAATAATTACTCCCTTTAAACATTTCATTTTCAGTTCACAGTATTTTCTATTGTGGCTTGATAATAATTTTATTGTGGCAATAGGTTTGATTCATTTTAATACGAGCAGCTCAGATGGAGAACAGGAGTCATGTTTTTTTATCATACGTTTGTGACCCACAGAAATAATAAATGTAATCCTATAACCATGGTCACTGTCGCTGAACTCCCATAGGTGCAAAATGAACTTGAGCTATATCGTCGCCATGGCAACCCTCTGTGACAGGTGATAAGAGGTGAGTTTTATATATAATCCGTATATAAAATCTAGATCTAGAGATGGACTTTGCTGATATTTGCTCTTTTTAGAGTATCGGATATCTTTGTTTTGACTGATCTGATGCTTAACCGTCCTGTATTACAAAAACCTGACTCTTGTGAGATTTGAGCCATGTTAGAATGTTGTTAAAAACAAATACAGAGTTGTGTTTCATTCACACAGGTTTAAGTAATCATGATTATTAGGCTGTCTGCATCCCTATAGCTCATAATGCTCTATTCCACCTTGTGATGTCATGTAGTGGTAGTTTTCAAGTTAGCACCTTATCTTACCTTTTAGCTTTAGTTCAGTAGAGATTGCCAATTCCAGATCTTAAATAATAAAAATTATTCTAGTGACGATGTATGGAGTTTAAAAACACAGTGAAGCACTTCCTGAAGTACCACATGACCTCACAAGGTGAAACAGATAGTTTTCCATTTGAGAGAAGAACTCAGCCTAAATATGCAGGGTTTGTGTGTTAAACATACACATACCTATACTATAAACAAGAAAAAGACTTTTTGCCAAAACATAATAATAATTAAAAAAAAAGAAGCTTTTGGACATTGGCAATCTGGGTGTGTTATGCATTTTTAAGCATTTTTTTTACACTTTTAAACACACACATCCAACTCCAAGTAAGTTTTTGATGAAGAAACAAGATTTTAACAGATCACAAAATAGCGTAATATGTGACATTTAAAGAATAAGCATAAAATTCTATTTGAACACATCATTGTTTCTATTTCTTAATCACTAGTCCTTCAGGAACTAATTTGGTTCTATCATGTTTGAATGACAAAGAACTTTGAACAAAACATGACTACACAGATCTATTATATGGTTATGGTAAAAAAGGGCTGTGTGTGAGTTTGTAAGGTGCAGTGTGTTAACATTTCTAGTGGAGAGTTTGCCACCAGCTTGTTACTATAGAAATGTTATTACTTTGTCTAGAATATTCCACAGTATAGATTAAACTTACCTATCACGAGGGAGAAGATTACAGCACTACGCTACATTACAATTCAGATTTGTGGAGAGTCGTCCCTACAGAAGAAATTATTGTATTTTTGAGCAACAGAAACTCCCATAATGAATAAATGCTATATGGATATATTTAAAGTCGTACCATGGAGACAAGCATCTCATACCAGAGAAGTTACACAATGCATTTTCAGATCAAAATCTGCCCTATGTATCAGCCCAAAAAGATAAGTGTGTTTTTCTGGATTTCCAACAATGGTCGATCTTATAAATTATCAAATCTTTCCAAAAGCAGAGTAATGAGTGTAATAAACCTGATTTTCACAAAGACTGACCAGGTTTTCTCCCCACTCGATGAGGCTGTAGTCCACTGTGATCTCCTCACCCATGGCGATGTCCCGAATGGCGATAACTACAAGACGGACCTGATTGGCGCAGTGGACCTCCCGGATCCGACAGTTGGGGGCAGGGGGAGGGCTGTGTCTGGGGGAAGAGGGGTGTGGAGGGGTCTGAGCAGGTCCTGCATCTGTGGTGGGGAGTGGAGCCGGTGTGAAGCCAGAACTGGACTTGGACCCACGGGAGACTTTATTACTGTAAGAAAAGGCCAGATTAAAGTGACTACATGTGGTGGATGCAGTTACAAGTACAGATACAGAGGCAAAAATTACTCAAGTAAAACTATCACATGAAAAAATTATCTTAATTAAAAGTATTACACCAATGAGCTTTTATAGTAGAAAGTAAAAGTATTTCACATAGATTTTGATAAAGTATTGTTAATTTGTTGTTAAATGTGTGTTGTGGAAAAAATAAATAAAATTATATACCTCTCAATTATAAATAATGAATCCATTTGTGAAGCCCGATGGGTTTTTGGAATATAGACCAAGGTTTATTCCTGTTACAGCAGATATGGACAGAGCCTAGGCCTGCCCTGACCAGAGCCCAACAGCCTCTCTTAACCAGCAGTATGTCCCTACCACATCTTGCCCCATTTCCCAAGTATCTCCCCCCAGAGCATTTGAGCTCTGAGTATTTATACAGAAATACAAGTTACATACATATCAAAGCAGAGTGACTTTTGTTTCAGAGGCTAGTGCTAAACTAACATACAGTTGAGGACAGATAAGACAACAAAGGAATTCCTGAAGGAGAAGACGATGAGCCTTCACACATGTTGATCATGTAATCACATTCATTTACACAAAGACAGTTTGAGAGAAATCTTTCCATAATGTAAATTTCCATCACATTTGGTGATACTGATAAACTTTTTTTTATTGATTTTGTGTATTTATTTTTGTTTGCTTGAACTTGAAGTCAAAACCTTTAGTCAGGATGTTACCACAAACATGCTAAAAATATCTCCTAAAATCATATGAGAACTGAGATGCACCGTACTTACTTTTCAGTCCAGTTAAAAAGTGTCGTGGAGTAGAAAGTACAGATACCTGCTCTCAAATGTAGTGAAGTAAGCATAAAAAGTACCCTCTTTAAAATGCACTTAAATAAATTATAGTACTTTACTACTTTTACTTTGTTACGTTCCACCACTGGCGATAACTACCGGACTTGTTTTGTTTAGAAAATTGGCTTATCCCAAAGACAAGAATTCCAGTTATAAAATATGTTTACAATTAAAACTGGGATTCACTTCCAATTTTTAATTTGTGACGTTGTTCCACTTACAGTTTTTGAGGGAGGTTCTTTTTGTCCACTATTGCCACTCTGTCTGCAGCTCCTTTACCTAAAGGACAGTGGAGAAAAAATGATTATGAGCTCTTACCCAGAAGTACATTTAGGTGCACACAGGACAATGTAGTATGCATCTCCATGTACACTAAAACTAGGCTTGCCACGATAAATACTGCTGCTGCTGCTGCTGCTGCTACTACTGCTACTACTACTACTACTACTACTACTACTACTACTACTACTACTACTACTACTACTACTACTACTACTACTACTACTACTACTACTACTACTACTGCTACTACTACTACTACTATTAATGCTATACTGTCGTTGAGTAGATCTTAGATGGTTTAGATAATTTTTAGGGTCAATATTTTTCTTTCTATCTTTCTCTCTTTCTTTTGTGAGAAAAGTTTGGTTATTTTTTGGTATTACAGTAACATCTGAGCTGTAGACAGTTGAATTATGAACTTCTATGACTCATTATAGTTACAAACTAAACACTAAAGTCTTTCATTCATTTAATTTTTTAACAGTATTGTACATTTAGAATTATTTTTGGAGGATAATTCTGCTTCATGATTTGGTTTCTGTATTATTGTTTATAGTCTACATTTACTTAAAGGTGCACTATGCAACTTTTATTAAATGTTCCATGGTATGACATTAAACATTTCCACGTAGCATTTATTCATTACGAGTGTTTCTATTGCCCAAAAATATAGTAATTCCTTCTGTGAATAGGAGCAACTCTCTAAATTGTAACATAGCTTTTTGCTGTAAACTGCTTGTCTCTAGATATGCTTACTCTATACTGGAGAACATTTTAGATATAAGCAATAACTAAATAAACTAAATAGAATATCTAAACTTCCATGGACTCAAGTTGGTGGCAGAGCTTCCACTATAAATGTTACACTTTTAAGCAATATGTCACACTTTAACTAACTAAACTAAGTAACTAAAACATGATAAGACAAAGCATAATCTCACTGACCTTGCCCTGCTCCTTCCCCGGAGTCAGGCACGAACACTTTGACAGGGGTCCCCTTCCGTTTTCTCCCATATCCTCGACTGTGGAGACACATGCAACAAAAAACACTCATCATTCTTTCAGCTCATGTGATCAATACGTTTATTGTCCAGTAATGGATGCATCTAAAGCATTAATTCTTGCATTTAATCACGGTGAAAACTGGAACAGAATATCATTAAAACACCAGTATCCATGCTAGTGACAACCACATAAGCGTCACGAAAATTATTATATCGACTTTGCATTCAATATAGATAAGATAAGATAATCCTTAATTGTCTCCCATGGGGGACAAAGACCGATGGACCAATCATATTGGGGAGTCAGTATTTATCGTGGTACTTTTTCTCTGTACTAGTAGGAACATTTTGGTTGTTTTTCTGTACTCTGACGAAATTTGGGCAGTATACGTGTTGAATTAAGAACTTCTATGACTCATACTAGACACAAACTAACTGCAGTCTGTTATTTATTCATTGCAGCTCATATTTTTTTTTACAATATTGTACATTTAGAATAGTTTTTCAGGAATAATTGTGCTGTATGGTTTGGTTTTCAATATTTCATTATCATTTATTGTTTATATTTCCTTCTACGAGATATTGCACTTCAAAATTTGTTACCGTAACAGGCCTACAACAGCAGTAATTTCTTGAGTACAGTATTGCTTACTTTTGCCATAAATGTTATTACTTATGTGTATTTAATTTGACATGAATTTAGAGAATTAAAGGACCCATATTACACTGTTATAACATTGTGTCCTCATCAAAAATTTACCTGCAGTTGTGTTTTGTTTCATTCACACACGTTTAAACACACAAACCCTGCATGTTTAGGCTGATTTCTTCTCTCAAACAGAAAACACTTTGTGATGTCATATGGTAATACATGAAATGCTCCAATTTGTTTTTAAACTCCAAACATCTTCACAAGAATCATGTGGATAATTTCAGCTATGGAGTTGCTAATCTCTACTGAACTATAGGTCAAATGTAGCTGTCAACCTGAAAACTACAGCTTCATGATATCACAAGGTGGAATAGAGCATTTTGAGCTTTGGATATGTCGACAATAGATAATAAAGGATTACTCAAACATGTGTAAATTAAACAAAACAAAACTCCAAGTATGTTTTGAGGAGGTAACAACATTATAACATGACTAAATGCTCATAAGAGTCCATTTTGCATTATCCTGTATAGGATTTTTAAAACACAAAAAACATGGTATGGGGAAACTCACAAAGTCTCACATACCAAACCCCACACTCTCCCATGTCTTTGTATCGATCCACTCTGCTCCCATCTGGACTTGAATTTTTGAGTGTATGTAAGTAAACCTCGCTTCTTAAGGGAGTTATCGAAGCATATGTTTTCTCTACAACAACGTGAAGTCTGTTCCAGTACAGTGTGGGCCTGTTACAATAAATACTACATCTACTTATCGTTCAATAGGGGTGTGCTAAAACATCAAAATATCGATATATAGTATCATCTAATGTGATGATACAGCATGAATATCGTGGGTTGCTGTATTGATATATCATCAGAGTATTTTTTTGGTATATTTTACTAAATTATTTGTTATAGCGCTACAGTTTTGTTGCTTGTTTAGTGAAAGGAAACTCGTTTATGCAACACATTGGACATATTCACTGTTTTTGATGATTTAAATGGGTATGTTTAATATTAACTTTGCACAAGAAGTGGTTTAAGACTTTCACAGTATCACAGCCAAGATTTAGCCTTTATTTTTTATTGAACCATATCAAATCAATCTGAAATATATCGTATTGAATCTAAAGTGCACTGTATTGAGATATGTACCATGACCTATGTATCAAGATATGTATCGTATCGGCAACTTCTAATGACACCCAGCCCTATTGTTCAATACATGTTGAATGGAATGATCATTTTGGAGGTTAATATTTATCATGGGTACATTTTCTTTGTACTAGTGGAGGTCTTTTTGTTATTTTTTCTGTTGTATGAGTAGATCGGAGCAGTAGAAGGTTGAATTATGAACTTCTATGACTCATTACAGATACAAACAAACTATTAAAGTGTTCCATTCTGCTATTTATTTCTTGCAGTTTGTGTTTTTAACCATACTATAGATTTGGAATAGTGTTTGGGGAGAATTCTGCTTTAGGGCTATCGTGTCAGTGGCATAAATTAGTTTCAGTATTATGTTTTATCATCTATATTTTCTTAAGCAATATATCGTGCTTCAAAATCCTGATCGTGACAGAAGTAGTACAGTGTTTAGTGTTCGCAAACTGCCTGACTCCAGGTCACTGAAAAATTACCATTTGCAGGTTCATTTTGTTGAAGTATTTTGAGGTCACAGTGTTTTTGTGCAGATTGGAACTTTGACACTAACCAGTCACCCTCATCTTCAGCCCTGCCTACATCTCTGTCTGTGTCCCTGCGCTCATTCTCTTTTCTCCTCTTGCTGTACCTTCTAATGCAGCCATAGAGTGCACAAACACACACACACACAAACACACACACACGAACCCACACAAACACAAACACACACAAACCCACACCGCAGTCTCTGCACGGTCCACATGTTACACACACACACACAAACACCCACACACACACAAACCCACGCATGCACAAACACAAATCCACACAAACACAAACACACACAAACCCACACCACAGTCTGTGCACGGTCCACATGTTACACACAGACTGACACCCTCCCCCTCTGTGGCCCACATGCACACACACAACCCGGCACGCAAACAGCCTCTCGGCACACACACCCCGCCCTGACAGGAGGCACACAGACACGTAACACACACACGCGCACACACACACACACACACACACACACACCACACACTCCCTCCCCTCCGCCTCCTCTCCCTCTCTCACCTCACACACTCTCAAGCGCTACACACACAAATACACTCTGTGCTCCTCTCCCTCTCCTCCCCCTCTCTCTCTCAGCTCACACACAAACACACACACACACACGCGCGCTCACACACACTTCTCCTCCTCTCCCTCTCCTCCCCCTCTCGCTCTCTCTCTCTCACATACACACACACACACCTCCTCCTCTCCCTCTCCTCCCCCTCACTCTCTCAGCTCACACACTCATGCGCTACACACACATACACATACACACATACACACACACACAAACACACTCTTCCTCCTCTCCCTTTCCTCCCCCTCTCCTAGCTCACACACACACACACACACAATCCTCCTCCTTGCCCTCTCTCCCCTCTCCTCCCCCTCTCCTAGCTTTCACACACACACACAAACACACACACTCCTCTCCTTCTCCTCTCCCACTCCTCCACCTCTCCTCTCTCAGTTCAAACACACACACACACACACTCTTCTCCTCCTCCTCTCCATCCCCCCCCCTCTCAGATCACACACACTCACACACACACACACGCACACACGCTCTCTCTCTCTCCCCGCTAACACTTGCAGTCCTCACACACACGTTTCTCAAATAACCAAAGCCACAGTCTCACGTTCCATCTAGAAAACACACTTTTTCTGCATCTCCACAAAACAAAACATTCTCACAGTGCAAGCTCCAGGTCATTGTGGAAATCCATTGAAAACATACAGGAAAACAAGTGTATGTGCACGTTACACACCAGACGTCTTTTGTCACGCAACATTGTCACTCCCCATACATGTTTAGATTACATTTAGATGCAGATTACTGATGTGATATTGGACAGGGAAAACTACAATGGGTCTGTGAAGAAAGTATGTTTGCAAAATGTCAGGTCTTCAGAGAGACAGAGGAAGGTTCAGTGGTAGAGATATTAACATTTTAAAAGGGCCAATATTATGCTATTTTCTGATCTATATTATAATACTGTTTCCTTTTTTTTTATATAACTTTGTTTTTATTCGTTTTACGTAACATTTCAAAACACAAAAAAACAGTATAAAATCAAAAACAAAAAAACAATAAACAAACAATGTAACAACAATCTGGAGTTACAGGTTCTTATTTAAACATGTATTTGGTATTGACATTTGTATGCACTATATTGTTTTTTTTATGTCATTGGTGAAAACATTCCATTTTTCCCATTGCTCATTGTATTTGTACCCTTTAAGTTTCAGATTATATGTTATTCTTTCCATCAATGAAATATTCTCCACGATCCTGATCCAGTCTTGTTGTGCAGGTGGATCTGGTTGTAACCAATTCTTTGTAATTGCCTTTTTAGATGCAGCTAAAATAATTTTTGCCAAATACATGTCCTCGTTCCTTACTGCATCAGATATATTTCCCAGATACATCACCAGACATGTGTTCGGAATTCCATATCCCAGAATAGTCGTTAAGGTTAAGTTCAATTGGTCCCAATATACCCGAATTTTCAGGCAATTCCAAAACACATGTGCGTGATCAGCGTCCCTTTCTCCACATAACCTCCAGCACTATAATACTGTTTCCTGATCACAAACTCACCTGGAGTTTTGTTTTGTTTCATTCACACGTTTAGACTGAGTTCTTCTCTCAAACTAAAAACACTCTGTTCCACCTTGTGATGTCATGTGGTAATAAAGGATGTGTTCCACTAGGGGTGTGCAAAAATATCAAAATATCAATAGATCGTATCGTTAATGTGATGATACAGTATCAATATCATGGGCTGCTGTATCGATATATTGGCAAGAGTATTTTTTGGTATATTTTACTTAGTTACTTTGTAGTGCTACAGTTTTGTTGTTCAACAAAGACTTTTAGTATCACAGACATGATTTAGCCATTATTTTTTAATTGAACCGTATCAAATCGATTTGAAATATATTGTATCGCAAACTCAGTGTATCGAGATATGTATCGTATCGTGGCCTTCATATCAAGGTATCTATCAAGGTATGTATTGTACCGGCAAACTCTACACAACTTTACTAGAATAAGTTGGATCATTTCAGTTCTGGAATTGCCAATCTCTACTGAACTGAAGGCAAAAAGTTTCTGTTAACTTGAAAACTATTGCTCATCACAAGGTGTAACCATAGACCAT